GATCATAAAGAGATTCAAAAAGCTCTAATATATTCCTGGGTAATCCAGAAAAGTGCCTATGGATGCAGGGCTGTGTACATGCCCAGGGAAGACCAGAGAAGGCACCTTAAAGTCATGCACAGCAAGAAGTGAAGACTAAGAGTTGTGAGCAGCCTAAGTGTTGAAGGCATACCTCAACACATACATGGCCCCTCCGCAAAGGGTAGAAGGCTTGTTGGGTCAAGTAGTCTAAGGAAATTTCTGACCAATCATTAGATGACCAAGCAGAGACTTACGTAGCTGTACACTACAGGAAACATAGATCACAGGAAACTTCAGAAAGCAATGAATATATATTCATTATCTTGATTGTGATGATTTCAAGAGTGGATATGAATGTCAACACACCAAATTGTATACTTTAAACATGTGTGGTTTATTATATGTCAGTTATTAACACAAGCTGCTAAAAGAAACATAGAATTGAAATAAAAGGGGCTAGGCACTTAGCATAGAACCTGTGCAGAGTGAGGACTCTAAGTATTTAGATAATGGGAATAACAGTAGCAAAAGCAATAGTAATCTATCTATATAAAACCCTAATATGTAAATCGACTAAATGGTGAACAACCGGCCAAATGACTGGTTGAGATGACGCGCACTGCCCCCAACCCACAGACCCTGACTGGCGGCAGGGGGGGCGGGGCCAGCAAGTGAGCGGCACCAGGGCCGCCAAGGTGGGTGGGAGCAGAGGCCCCGATCACACCACTGGTGGCCCCACAGATCAGCCCTTATATCTGACCAGGCCTAGGGATCCTACCCATGCATGAATTTCATGCACCGGGCCTCTAGTAATAATAATAAAATGAACAAAATAATGTCTCAGCTAGATATACACTTCTATTTATCTGGAGTTTGACCCACCCATCCACCAAAATTGTTCTTATCAATGTCACCTATGACTTTTAAGTTGCTAAATCAAATAAACAACTTCAAACATCATCTTAGTTAGCATATCTTCAGATGACATATATTATTAACCAAATGACCTCATCCCTTATCATCTCCCTCATTTCTCACTTGGTTCCTGCCGGAAGCCGTTCCATCCTTGCTGCTTGACACAGAAACATCTGCCCAGCTTATGTTCCAAGGGACCTGGCGTATATGGCATACTGTTCTTAATATGTTTGCTCACCTTCTTAGTGCTATTTCTTAAAAAGCAATGAATGTGTTTTCTCCCAGCAGTTTTCCTGACAGTCATGGTATAGCATGAAAAATTCAATGACCAAATTAAAAGTAATTGATTCCATGGTCAAGACTAAATCCTTTGATGTTAAGAAGTGTTTTTAAGTGTTGATAATTTTTAAATTGGATACATGTTTGACAGTTTTTCAGAATGTAATATTTCAAGAATATAATCGAAGGACATTTTGTGCATCTCAAAAGGCCCTGAGATTGTACAAAAGGATTTAATTCTTCTCCCAAAAAAGAAATTAATAACAACTTCATCTTTGCTAGAAAATCTGTGGGCCCACCTATATGTTTTGACATCACTAATAATAATCACATTACAGGCTGTTTAGGAACCTCGCAAAAAAAACCCGTTACTGACTCCCCCACAGGAAAACCTAATCGATGGAATGTGTGGGCTCTCACCCGTCAATCTCCTGGGTGCGGGACCCCACCTCTTATGGAGCAGGGCTTTACCCCGAGTAAAAAATCCAAGGCTTTGTAGAACATCTTCACAATCAAAGGACACTGAGGAGGGCCCATGGCCATTCATGGATGAAAACACAGGATTCCCTTCTTGGTCGTATTGTAGATATCCAAAACCTATTCCTTTTCCTTTATATCAAAGCAAACAACAGATTTTTGACTGGTCTGTACCTAACCCCACTAAGAACTATAGAGACTATCTTAAAGCTTCCGCTAACTTTCACTGGCAGGAAGCTTTTCTCCCCCCAGGAGACCATGTCACTCATCGGCATTCTAATGGATGGGTCCCAGCAGTCTTAACTTCTATAGTTAATAATCATTCTTATACTCACCATCACTTGTGGAGAGCAATTGCCGCCACAGCACCTATAACTCTTGATAGACCCCAGCCCCCGCCTTATGGCAAAGAAACTTATCATATTAGAGCTTGTCTACCATCCCCATATGTCTTTCTACTAAAAGATTCTCACAGTAACCTAGGTGTGACAACAAATGAAACCACTTTCACTGTTTCCTGTCACAAATGTATTTTAACCACATGTATTGATTCTAGCTTTTCTATTCAGACAATTTTTATTGTAAAGCGACCTCCTTATCTAATGTTACCTGTACAATTGCATACCCCATGGTATGATGATTCTGGGTTACAAGCTATTAGAATAATTACCAACACTTTAACACACTCAAAAATATTTGTAGCAGAATTAGTCTTAGGCATAACTGCACTCATTACAATTATAGGATCACTTGCTACTGCAACCACAGCCTTAGTACAGGAAGTCCATACAGCTCAGCACGTAGATCAATTAGCAAAGAATATTTCTCTCGCTCTAGCTATCCAAGAAATAATAGACAAAAAATTAGAAGCCAAGGTTAATGCTCTTGAAGAAGCCCTTATACAAATTGGAAATGAAATTGTTACACTTAAAGTTTGTCTATCATTAAGATGTCATCTAGATTACAAATGGATCTGCGTTACTCCTTTAGAAGTTAATCAGCCAGCAATAACTTGGGACAAAATTCAACATCATATATTAGGAATTTGGAATAACAGTAATTTAAGCCTAGATCTACAAAAGTTACATCAGCAGATTCACGACGTAAGCCAGTCGGGCTCACTACTTGATCCTTCCCAGGTTGCATCTTCCTTTTTTAGCGGTTTACAAGAATACATCTCTAAACAAAACATTATCCCCATGCTTTTAAGCGCAGGCCTATTTTTATTCATAACTTTAATAATTATTTGTCTTTTCCCAATCTTCTTCTGAGTCTTAACGCAATCCGAAAGGTGGCTGCTGATTTACACGTGCTACATTTAAAAAATAAGAATGGGGGAGATGCCAGAAGCTGTTCCATCCTTGCTGCTTGACACAGTCGCTGCAGGGAAGAAACATCTATACAGCATTTGTTCCAAGGGACCTAGCGTATATGGCATACTGTTCTTAATATGTTTGCTCCCCTTCTTAGCACTATGTGTTCTAACTAGGGCCACCTCCCCAAGAAAGGTTGTTTCTCCAGGTGGGAATGTTTCCCTGGAGTTAGGGATTAATGGGACTAGGGAAGGGAATAAATCAATAAAACCCCCTAGTGTTACAGAAATACTGTGTACTACTTATGAGGAACTTAGACTGCTAGCAATAAATTTAGGACTTGCTAGGCCCACATCCCCAGGGGTCTACACACCAGAGAAAGTACCAAAGCCTATACCCCTAAAAACCCGCCAACACAGGGCAGTCCCAAGGAAGACCACCAGCAAGGCTAAAAGGACATAACCTTTATTTAGGCCATAGAATAGGAAAATATCCTTCAGTTATGTCCTTATAGCTTAACAGTAGAGCAGTAGAATAGTGACCTTGGAATAGAAATAGCAAACTAGCCCTTATAATGGAACACAGAGACTAACCTTTAGAATAGAATGTAGAAACATAGACAATAGATAAGATTAAAATTAACAGACCTAGATAGAGATAAGATTTTTAGCAAAGGTCAGATAAGAAACTATAAACATAAAATAAGGAACTGTAGAAGGTCAAAGGAGGACCCAAAACATACCATGATGTAACTATAGAGGCATGCTTATAGAATCAAATAGTATAAGTACAGCTGTAACAAGACAATAAAAAAGAACCTAACTATGCTGATCATCTGAACGCTGTCTCTGTGTCCTTCATTCTTCGCCGACGCTGTCCACACCTTTGGGAACCCCTGGACCGCTGGGGCTGGACCCTGGCAGGTTCCAACCACAATGGTATTAAGTTCCTGGAACATGCCATTTCCTTAGGGCCTTCGCACATCTGCCTGGAATGTTTCCCCATCCCCAACTTCAGGGTTGACTTAAAAGTCAACTTCTCAGTAAGTGTTCTCTGGCCACACTATCATAAAATTTAACTTTCTGTCACCTGCACATTCTTAAAACTTTATTTTTTAAATATATTTTTATTGATTTAAAAGAGGAAGGGATAGGGAGAGAGAGATAGAAACATCAATGATGAGAGAGAATGACTGACCAGCTCCCTCCTGCATGCCCCACACTGGGGATCGAGCCTGCAACCCGGTCATGTGCCCTGACTGGGAATTGAACCATGACCTTCTGGTTCACAGGTCAATGCTTAACCACTGAGCCATATCCGCCAGGCCCAAACTGTATATCTTCCTTTCATGCTGTTTTTCTCTCTACACTTACCACAAATGACATAACAAATGTTTACTTTTCTAAACCCACTGGAATGTAAACCATCTGCAGTCAAATTTTCTGTCTTGATCATTCACTTCTGTATCCTCAGCACCTAGCGCCTAGCACAGGGTAGGGGCTAATGAATTTGTAATAAAGGGAGGAAGAGGGACAGAGTGAAAATGAATAAACAGAGAAAAGAAAGAACTGTCTCTTGATGGTTTTCAGCTGAGGGTCCATTAAGACTACATTTAACACCTCTTCCTGATGAAAGACAGGATTTCCTGTGTTATACTCTTTGATCAGCAATACAGTGGGAAGAGGCCTGGACTAGATACAGTTTAGTCTTAGGCATAACTGAATTAGTCTTAGGCATAACTCTAGACTTGCTCTTAAACTAGAAACATGGCCTTGGGCTCTTAACCTCACTGGGTCTGTTTCCAAATATGTAAACAAGAGAATGAGAAGATGCTGAAAAGAATACTCATCACTACAGTTCTGTGACCAACAGGCTCTGTGTATTGGGATTCAACAGAAAAGATAAGAAAAATGATTCTGTTAGATAAGGTACTTCATGTATTCTAAATAATAGATTCTCTTAGCAGATAATAACAAGTGGAAATGCTTAACTTACCAGCTTCCAGAGAAGAAATCAGTAGAGCTATGAAACAAACAAGCCTGAGTAACACTTTCATGTTCTCCTAGAGAAACAGGAATGAAAGAAAAACAAAAATTAGAAATGTTACTATTCCAGAGACTTTCAAGATGGCAGTAGAGCAGGTGAATCTTGAACTCACCTCCTCCCTAAACCAAACTGGAAATACAAATAAATTGGAGAACAATCACCCTGAATAACCAACTGAGAACTAGCTGAAGAGGAGTCTTATGCTACTAATCAAGGATTTGCAGCAGAAGGTGCATTGAGACTGGTAGGAAGGGTGGAGATGCAAGAGGGACTGGCCCCACTCCCACAGACGCAGCTGAGGTGCTGGAGAGATCACTTAGCTACAGGGGCTTTCTCCTGGGAAGTGTGGGGCCTAACCCCAGGCCAGGCTCCCCAGTCCAGAGGCTCCCCAGCCCAGAGCACCAGAGCACCAGAGCTGGAAAGAGGCGCCCACATAGCATCCAGCTGTGAAAGCAGTGGGGTTTCTGTCCACCGAGGAGAGGCGAATCTGCTGGAGACACCGGCTCCCTCTTCAAGAGCAAACTTTAAGGAGAGAGGATGGTGCTGGCTGGAGTCGCCTGAGGACAGTCTGGGGTCTGTGGCTCTAGGGAAAGATGTGGGGGGACAGCTGCCAGGACACCTGTACCCAGTCATTCTCGGATACCGCAGCAGCCACCTTTCTGGGGCAGGGCAATCCCCTCCGAGAGCATCAGCCTGGGGGAAAGCAATTATCCACCCCGGGAGTCCCTCGCACCCCACCCTGCAAGGAGCCACAGCCTAGGGCAGGGAGTAGAAGTCCGGGCAGACTTTGGGTGTCAGTGACTGGGTTTGAGGTGAGGCCATATGCCCACTTTTCCTGTGAACCAGACTGGTACTTCCCCATCACAGGAGGCCCCACAGACACACCCCGCAGCTCTTGGCAGACCCGACCTTTGGGCTCCGGAGGCCCGTCCTGAGTATTAGAGCATCCGCCCTGCTGAGCTCAAGGCAAAATCAGGGACAGACTCAGTCACCTGGCTCTGGGATGGGGTCATACCCACCACCTTCCCTGAAGTGTGAATGGCACCTCCCCTCACGAAGATCCACTAGCCCCACCACCAGAGACTTTTTCAGTGAATGAGCCTAACAGGCAGCCAGCAGACAAGGAAGGCAGAGGCGGATTGTGGGGTGCCTTGGCACATGTGCCAATCTGCCCCAGGGCCCAGTACTAGTAACAGCCGGCCTTGGAGCACAGCTTGGTCCTTCCTGTGTGCAGCCAAGCCCAGCAGAGGCAGCCATAACTGTGGACCAGGCACCGGCAGCGTCTGACACTGGCCTGCACCACAGTCCTTCCCAAAATGACCAAAAGCAACACACGAAGCGTCCAGCTCAGGCAGCACTGGAGCAGGACCCAACAAACTCCACAAACAGCAGATCGAGCAGGCACTAAACCTGATGAGGTGAATGCCACTTTTTTCTTTTCTGATTTTTTCTCTTTCCTTTCTATTTATTTATTTTATTTTTCTTATTGTTTTTTCTTTTCTTATAATTTTTCCTTATCCTTTTTATTCTTTCTTCTTTTCATATTCTTTTTATTCCTTTTTATATTATTATTAGTCAGCATCTGTACAGCAACTCACATACCATAGTTGGGGGTTGAGCATCATAATTAGACAGCCTAATCCCATGCATGAACAGGCCAACAGCAATCAAGACTCAACTGCAACAGGAGAGCCCATATAACCCACATAACATTCCTAGTACATCCAGCTCAGAGAACAAGGAGACTGCACCACTGTGTCCCACAGGACGCCTACTACATAAGGCCAACCTATGAAGACTGAGAGTCCTAGCAGATATATTTAATATATAGAAACAAACACAATGAGGCAGCCAAAATGGGGAGACAAAGAAAGAGGCCCCAAATGAAAGAACAGAAGGAATCTCCAGAAAAAGAGCTAAATGGATGTAAGCAAGCAATCTATCAGAGACAGAGTTCAAAGTAATGGTTACAAGGACTCTCAAAGTACTTAATGAGAACTATAACAGCATAAAAAAGAACATAGAAACCAGGAAAAGGAGCCAGTTGGGAATGAAGAATACCATATCTGACAACAAGAATACACTGAAAGGAATAAAAAGTAGGTTGGGTGAAGCAGAGGACTGAATCAATGATTTGGAAGACGAGATAGAAAAAAATACAATCACAAAAAGGAAAAAAGTTTGAAAAATAAGGATAGCTTAAGGGAACTTTGGGACATGAAGCATAACAGTATTCACATCATAGAGGTTCCAGAAGGAGGAAAGAAAGAACAAGGGATCGAGAACCCATCTGAAGAAATAATGACCAAAAAATCCCCTAATCTGGTGAAGGAAAATGGCATACAAGTCCAGGAAGCGCAGAGAGTCAGAACAAAATGGACCCAAGGAGGCCCACACCAAGCACATCATCATTAAAATGGCAAAGGCTAAAAACAAGGAGAGAATCTTGAAAGCAGCAAGAGAAGGCAGTCGCTTACTCTCAAGGGAGCGCCATAGACTGCCAGCTGACTCGACAACAGAAACATTTCAGGCCAGAAGGGAGTGGCATGAAATATTCAAAAAGATGAAAAACAAGGACCTACAACCAAGGCTACTTCACCCAGCAAGGCTATCATTTAAAATTGAAGGAGAAATACAGCAATTCCCAGATAACAAAAAGCTAAAGGAGTTTGTTATACAGAAATTTAAAGGGCTTGCTTTAAGAAGCAGAAGAAAAAGGGGGGTGGGGGTGCAAAAGAACATAGTTAAAAAATAAAATGGCAATAAATATGTACCTAACAATAATCACTTTGAATGTAAATGGCCTAGATGTTCTAATTAAAAGGCATAGGGTAGCTGAGTGGGTAAGAAAACAAGACTCATGTATATGCTGTCTTCAAGAGACACACCTCAGAAGGAAAGATACACACAGACTAAAAGTAAAGGGATGGAAAGAGATAATTCATACAAATGGAAAGGGGGAAAAGTTGGAGTAGTAATACTTATATCTGACAAAACGAGCTTGCGGCTACTTCTGTAGATTTGTTCCGTATCTGGACTGTACCCCATTCGTAGGACCCACTTGCAAAAGTCTCCCTAAACTTCCAGATCCACTCAAAGCTTACACTTTCATCTTACAAGGTAAGACATTAAATTATTTGTATAAAATTATATAGCTGTATGAAAATGCACCAAAAAAGACTAAAAAACATAACAACATATTAAAATTGGGTTGGTTCCTGCAGTTGGGTGGTTTCCCCCTTCTCGGTAGCTTTCTATCTAAAATTCCTGTAATGAGCATGTATTAACTGTATCACAAAGTGAGAAACAAAAGCAAAACCTTCACAGCCCCCACCCTCGTGTGACGTAGATGGCCGACCAACCTAGCACCAGCTACAACAGGTACAGGCCAGCGATGTGATCACGTATGAAGCGAGGTCCCAGGGATGCAGTTTAATTATATGACGCTTTGTCCACACATACGGCAGGGACGCTATCACCTTCGGCACTGGCTGCACGCTGCAAGGAGACACCACCACCGCCTTACCTACAAAAGCAACGTCACCAAAACACGGCGAAAAGGAAGACAGGCACTCCTGCCGACCGTCCTAAGCTTCTCAAGCCCAGAGGCAGCCAGTGCTCAGCAGAACCTTTTCCTTTCCGAGTTCCTGCTCCTGAGATGAGGTCACACGACCATCACCTGCTCCTGAGGGGCACCTTCACGTGCAGTAAGTTCCAGCCTCAGACCCCAGGGGACCTTCGCACAGATCTATGTGAGGGCCCCGAGGACCTCAAACTCAACAGGCCCCAAACCAAGCTCTCTGCCACATCTGCTCCCCACCCGTGACAGGTGCAGCACTGCCCTGCACTCCCCACTGTGAGGACACCCTTGCCCCCTGCACCCCCACCTAAGGGCAGACACACTGCACCCCCAGCCCCCAGCACTGCCCTGCACCCCCCACCGTGAGGGCACCCCCAGCCCCCGGCACTGGGCGTGGAACTCAGAAGCCTTAATGAGTCCTCATGGAATGAAAGAAAAGTGAAGAAAAGGTGCGGTTATCCTCCCCCCACTTCAGCAGCGTGTCCAGAGGAGACCATGCTTTGAAAACTCTGCCCTTTGGTTTACACAGGAGATTGCACTGGCTTGTACTCTTATCTGTAGCTCTAAGTTAATTGCAAACACAAAATATTTTACCCAAGACATCACTCATTCAGACTCTAATGACATGCAACCATCTGAATAGTACCCAGAAAATGTTCTATTAAGAAGTGGTGTTAACAGGAATGAAAATGTTACACTGTGCTTTTTAAATAAATGGAGGAAAATGATCCCTATGCCTGGCTCAAGCCTGGAAACTTTCCTGGAGCAGTAAGACTGCGTTCCTAAAATGTCCTAACTCTGACTTTTATTCGAAATAACTTGGCCTTCTCCCAGCTTAGTCTAAAATTGCATTCACAGTATTATCATGTTGCCTTTAAACTATGCCCGATTATAAAACAAGGTCGGAGGTGCTGCGCCTCACAGCCTGGCCACCGCTCCCGCGCTGTAAGGAGGTGTGTTTCCCCTCTGCCGGAGAAGGAAATCAAGGCTTCAAATGGTTCCCAGGTCCAGGCCAATCAATTACTCACGTTAGTTAGTTTATCAACAACAAAACGAAGGCGCGGTAAACCTACTGAGCAGCGTGAGCGCCTGGCTGTGCGCAGCGGGAGCAAGGGAAGGCCCAGCTGCGTCCACACAGCACATTTCAGACACATTTCAAATGAACTCTGAGCACAGAGCATGTGGCAGCTGCAAGCCCAAAGCCAGCGGCCGGCTGCATAGATGCCTGGCCTCGGCCATGACCCTCTGGTCCCAGTGCCTCAGGTGCGCAAGGTGGGCGACAAGTCCGACGACCTCAGACCCTTTCCTGTTCCTAGAGCTTGTAAAACTCGGAATCCAGTGCAGAGCCCAGGCTTACTCAGCCGCCCACACCTGCTCTGGGAAAAAGCAGGCGGGGGGCGGGTGCCTCCCCGCAGGGGGCTCAGTCCCAGAACCCTAGGGCGGGCAGGCGGGTGTCGCTCCAGGCTATAGGAACGGGTTAGTGTCACATGATCAAAGAGAATAGGGGCAGTGGGAGGGGAAATGGGAAAAATGCACCCAAGACTAAACAAACCACGCTCCCAACAAAAATCAGCATAAACCCCGTGGCACCCAAAACGACAGAAATTCCAGGTGCAAAGCCAAGCCCTACCTACTCCACACCGCCTGGCGGGTCGGTGGGCCGCGCGCAGGCCTCACACTGTGCTCTGTGTGCCCGGTGGAGTGCTGGGCCGAGACAGAAACAGTCAAGTGTGAAAGCAGACCTTCTCCTCCAGACAGTTACGGCGTGACCACAGACGCCCAGCCTCTCCCGTGTGCCACACAGGGATGAAGACGGTATTCATGGACGTTTGCCATGAGGATCACATGAGCTGTCCTCATTTAGGGCTGAGAAAACTGTCCGTGGTAAATTGCCTCATGCTCTGGGGACACAGAGGCTGTGGTGATGTGCCCTCGATGTTCATTCATGTTCTTGTTCACTCACTGCCAAACTTGACCAGCTTATTGCATGTCCGCCACAGGCCCGCCTCGCGCTTGCTCTAAGCAAAATAGACATAATGCCCAGGGCCAGGCTCAAGGAGCTCGTCCGCCAGCAGGGACTGGGCACGTTTACAGAGAATGACACATCATGGGGAGTGGCCTTGGGCACAGAAATGCCCAGGGCATGGGGGAGGCAGGCCTCCCTCCGCCTGG